CAAGGAGATCATGAACCTAAGCCCCAAACCCTAGACCCTAAGCCCTAAACCCTAAACCCTAAGCCCTAAACCCTAAACCCCAAGCCCTAAACCCTAAACCACAAGCCCTAAACCCTAAACCTTAAACACATGAAACCCCCTGAAATCTCAAAGCAGGCCGAGCCTTGCTCGCTCCTCTCCGGTGCCCAGAACGTAGGCAAGCTTCAAATCCGTGTCCTCCAGGAAATTAATGGTAAAGATTTAGTTTTATGGGTCATATGGGGGTATGGGGCCCAATAATGGAGAATCAACATAGAAAAAAGAATGGAAATAACATGAAAAGTGAAATGGAAACTGTGTTATACAGTTGTTATATGGTAGTTTCCCAAAAAATGTGAGCTTTCGATTTTTGGGTCTAGGGGTGTCGGGGCTAAGGTTTCGGGATTTTAGGGTTTCCAGTAGACCATCTAGGCAACGACAGGAAAGCGCCGGAATTGAAAGCTATTTGAGCTACGCCACGCCTCAGCCTCGCAAGGATTTGGTGGGAATATCGCTTGTGCGTGTTTGTGCTACCCTAGTATGGACACTGCCGGCACCTACTGCGAAATAACGACATCTTTTCTTGTGAAGTAACCTAAAACCTCAGGCTTAGAATCCCAATGCCAACATCCTAAATCCCATAGTATACCAATACCCTGCGCGAGCTTCGAAAGCCTATGCCTCGAAACCTGAGCTTAATCCCCCAAACCCCAAGACTATCCGGCAAAGCCCTAAATCTCCCCAACCTACTTGGAGGGTCAGGGAGATGAATTGCAAAGACACTGATACACTTTAACATCCACATCATTAACCTGTTTACGAAGTCCTCGTGACCCTCCAACCCTACTGCAATCCCAATTTCCACGTCATTATTCACATTGTTTGACATCTGAATCGCTTGTACTGGTAACCTAATAAACCCCAACATCCACACGCAAAACCGTAAAACCCTATACATAACCCCAAATATCCAGATGGGCTTCTATAACCCCTTTGAAGGGGCGCCTCCGTTGACCTACTGACTCTAAACCCTGAATGCTAAACCAAAACCATGAACCCTCAATCAAAACCATGAACCCTACATATTCCAGCCCCTCCTTCCCCATGTATTCCAGGCTACAGCCAGAGACGTTAACTATCTTCGTCTTCATGGAGCCACCTGGAGATTTGGACAAACTAAGGGTATCTAATCATGTGGGGCATGTCGGGGGTTATTTTGAACTGGAGGGCTTCGGTTTAGGGATACCCCAAAAACGGAGAAGCAAATGGAAAAGAAAATGGACAATGAATTGGAAACTGGTTTTTGTAGTGGATTAGAGGCTTTGGGGTTTCCGAAAATTCGAAGTCCCTCCTGGGGTCCCTACACTAGGGGCCATGTACTTGGTTGGGGGTCTATGCTGGGCCTGGTTGTGGCTTGGGCTTTTCATGAAGGGATTGTAAGACGCGGGGTTCAGGCTTTAGGATTTCAGATTTTGAGTTGGCGATTTAGGGCCCTGGACTGCTCTCCGACAACATTCATAGGGTTGATATTGGCTTCTTTAAAGGAGCCCCTCCAAACCCCGACCCCCCACAAAGGCTGTTAGGTTATATTGGGGGGGGGAGTTATAGAGGGTTGTTTATGGGGTCATGTAGGGGTGATACAGGGGAAGTATAGCGGGTGGCTTAGGGATGTAGATGTTTAAGGTGTAGGGGTCTGAGCCTTGGGTTTTTGCAGGAGAACATCCAGGCGAAGACAGGAAGGTGCCTGAAATGAAGGCAATTTGAGCGACACCACGCCTCAGTCTCACAAGCAACTACTGCCATATCTTGGAACTAGTGGACCTAAGGTTCTGAATCTTGAGTCATTCCCCCTTCCAGCAACTGCCCTTCTAGGAAGTTTTTCTAAGCGGCTATGATAACTCCTGTTGGCCACTGTGCTACAGGTTACTGTGAGGCGGAATGACCCAAACCGAGTCTTAATTCCCAAGGGTCGACCGCGAATCTTAGCCACCGAAAAAAATCCTAAGCAGTAAGGTCTCATCCCTGAACGTCCCAAAGCTCTAGAAAACCTGAATCCAATTTGACATTTCCAAGCGCCCACCTTTTCCAATGAGCCTTCCGAGTGTACCGTCGCTGGTGTTCAGCTCCTTCGTTCATGGTTTGTGGGTTTGGGGCTCCTTGCTCAGCGGCTCTAAGGGCTCTACCTGTTAGGATCCCAAAGTTCAAGCCCTGGAGATTTTGATTTCTGTGGATTAAACAGGTTTAGGCGATCAGGGTTGCTTGTTTGGGGCGTCATGGTGGTTTGTCATCAGTCCATACATTGGACCTGGGATGCCTTCGACGATCCCGTGCTTTCATCTGGAAGTTGATCTGGGGTTTCTCCAAAACAAATGAGTTTAGGGTTTAAGGTAAACAAAGGGAGCTCATGGTGGGAAGACATCAGGCTGCGACTTTTGCATGCAGAAGAACCTGCAAGGCATCAAACAGACGTCGGCTACCTTTAGCAGAGCAGAACAGGCTGGGAACTGAGAAGGGCAGACCGATCTTATAGGGATTGCAGGACCATGATTGAAGACTCTATGCTTGTTTGTAAAAAGTTTCGACGAACAGGGAAGCTTAACAGTCTAGAATGGCTTGCCTCCTATGCCAAACATGAAGGCTTTATGTTTAGCAACTTCCTGCGAAACATCGCTTCAGAAAATCTGAAGCGCCGCGGTACTTGGCCCATACGACCTTAGCCACTGAAACCTGCCTGAAGCTATAGTCCATACACACAGCCAACCGTCTCTGCAGTTGCCACCCTGCGATGGATTTGGCCAAGATGCTTTCGAGTCCCCTGCACAATCTATCAACAATTGCAAAATAGAGGCCCTTTGCATATACCATCCCGAAACTCCCTGCAGCCGACAAGGGGCCCAAAGTCCCTGTAATTTCACTTCCCTGCACAAATTCCAAACATGCACCGTGCATGCACTACAGCCCTCACAACTAATCTCCAGGTTAGTTTCCATGGTACTTTCCTCGACGCTCCATTATGTTAACCGTTTTTGCCCTCCTGCAAGCCCTTCTAAAGGGGTGCCCCAAACTCTCAAAAACTTACTCTGGCTAGTAAGGAAGGGAGGAATGGATTTCGAGATCAGTCCCTGGGTTTTCAAACTCTTGTAACAATCCGTACTTGACTCCTGACTAAACACCCTAAACCCTGAAACCTGAACCCCAACACCCACAGAACATGTACCCGCCCTCTCTTCTATTCCTTCATGTCTTATGACAAGTAAGAAGTGCGCTCCATAACGCTGATGCCCACGCCGGGGCCGTCGAAGGAAGCTTTTGGATTAGCGGCACAGTGACCAGCAGCCTGCTTTTTGGGTTCAGGATTTACGGTCTTAGGGTTTAGGCCCCTCAAGTGGGCCTATAGGCATGTAAAAGGACATTCCATGGCTATATGCGGATATGTATGGTTGAGGATGTAATGCTTCTGGGGCCCAGAGGCTATGTGGGGATGAGAGAGACCTTCAGAAATCTTTGAGGAACTCCTTTACAGGATCTGATGTGAAATCCTAGACCCTAAACCCCTAAACCCTAAACCCCTAAACCCCTAAAGTTTTGGAGCTTTGGGATGCTAAGCCCCGCTTGGGTTGGGGGATTAGGGAATATTAGTCCCGAGAAAAGGCCGTAGGTCACGGTGATAGAGGGTTTTAAGAAGGCTTCGGGCTTCAACCTTTCTATCTGGGAGTTTTCGGTTCAGGGATTTGAGGCTTTAGAGGGTCTGGTCATGAGTCTGGTCTCCAGGCTCAGGTTGTTTGGGGCTTCAAGAATGTAGGGGTTAGCATGTCGGGATTGCAGATTGGGCTGTAAAGCTTAGGGGCTTGGGTTTATGGATGGAGTTGTAGGGCGAGGTTGCAGTTTTACCGTTAACTTCAGGGCTGGAGTAGAGGAGCCCGAACAGATTCAAAGGAATTTTGGAGGTGATTTAAACAAGGAGTACTATTGGCAACAGTTCAGCAACCCCGCACATGGCACTATGACACCCAGCGACGCTCTTTAATTCAGGGATCACAGGTACAGTGTTCACCTAAATCGATTCCATGGGTTCCTTGTCGGGATGCCTTGGTTATTAATTTGAATTCGCTATTGCACCTGCGAAGTCGTTAAAACCCGAACAGTCTGCCCACCAATGATTCAGCCCAAGATCGGCTTCTGTGAGTCTAGTCCCCCGAACACCAAATACATACCAGATACACTCACCAATACTTCTAGGGAATCCTATATGCGCCCATTGAAACAGTATCAAAAATGCTGCTTCGTATAACCCCTATGCAGCTTCAGTTTAAAGGTCATCTTCCATTTTTCCATTTGACTCTCCATTTTGGGAAAATATCCCTAAACCCCAAGCCCGCATAAACACCTTTAGTCTTTCTTCATAATTAGTTTGCGGGGGTTGGGGACGGTCAGGCTTTAAGGCTTGAAGGTCGAGCATCTTCAAAGCTGCGGAAGGAGGGGCGAGGTCCGTAGGCTTATGACCCTACACCCTAAACTCTAAATCGAACATGCGGGGTTCAGGCTGCGTGGCTCTTGTAGGACATGCGGTTGGGATACTTACTGTTCTTTACCCACTTTGGTAAATAAGATCCTGGGTTCAAAGGGAGATGAAAATTCATGAGCGCAGCAGAGTCAACCCGGCGCTGGCCAAGGACAATAAGGTTGAGAATCTTCTGTACCGTAGACCGTGGATGCAGGTGCCCCCAAAAGGTCATGTCTGCCTTTGACTGTGCCTGATGAAAGCGAGCTTCAACGCTCTGTTGCAAGCATGTAAAGCCAACCCTCTTCTTGAATTAGATTTTGGGATGTTGGGTTTTGGGCGTTGAGGGTTGTCTCAGCCCAACTTGGATGGCACTTGCTGGGAGTGGCAGGTACGCACCTTCAGAGCAAGCCCTTCATTGATCCCTCAACCATGGTGGTCCTCTACTTACTGTTATCATTACCATCACTAGTACTATTACCTTTTCTATTATCCTTTCTGTACGGCTATAGTTACTACTGCTAATACCATTTCTATCCTGATAGTTTGTATTAAATATGTTTCAATCACTGGCTGCTTCACTGTATGAGAGCTAAGGATGGTCTAGGCGGTGCTCTCGAGCAATGCCATAAGATGAAATGACGTATGGGACTCACAGCTTAGCTGGTTATCCTACCCTTGGAAAGGTGTGCGACTACCAAACTCATGGTCCCGTCCCCTTCTGGAAGTTCCACTTTTAGGGATCCTACTTGGAGGGTTGGAAAAGTGGTTTTGAGCACATCCCCGAAAGTGTGCAATGCCTTCGCCTCGATTCGATTCAGCGTTCGCAACTCCACCTGCGCTGACATTATGGAATCCAACATGCTCCGATCGCTCAAGGGCGTGATGTCTTGCGGATTTCAAGGGAGCTGGACAATGAACTAAATGCATGCTGCTTCTTGCAGGGGCTCTTACACTCAGGCAGCACATGTAGTTGGAAAACGGACCACCGCATTCCCTACGACATCAAAACCCTCTAGAAGCATGCAACAAAGGAACGGCATGCTTTCAGGCACGACCATCCGTGAAGCTTTCAAAACCCTCACTTTCCTTCTTCTGTTTTCTGACTGGCTCTACCAGGCATAAATTGAGACCTGCGTGCTTCCCATCCATCGTGTCCGTCCAATGTTGTCACAACTATACAACCCTCGCGTGCTGAGAGACGATTTCATGATTGGCGCATGTCATGGGGAGCTGATAACGCCACAGTTCGCGGGATGCGGATCATTGGGGCTGCAAACGCTGCAAGTTAGTCTAGGTCTACAGAATCTTCAAGGAACCTGCACATGCAGGTTGCAGTAATAGGCGTGTTTCACGAGGTACAGATGGTGTGATTCCCAATGTGTAATTCACACTATGTATGTGTCGTTCCAAATGCTGCAAATGCTGTCCTGCGCAGCATTTGGAAATGTCAACGCACATGCTGCTGCAACTTACAGGACATCGATCGCCCGCGGGGCTGCAAGCGCCGCAAACGATAAAGATTATCACCTTTGGTGACACCCAGCACGCGCTTCGCCACACCTTAGAACAAGATTCGAACCAGCAAGGAAATCTTAAACGCGGACCGCGAGCTGCAAGCTGCACCTCGCCCCAACCAAGGACAACGAATTCCTAGCTCACTATCTCAAAGCGGAATTGTACTCCTCGGGTCACATCCGGTCAACATGTCTCAAGTTGCAGCCCACAAGAATCAAAGTGTTAGAGCCAGGGGTCGCCATGCCTTGACAGCAACTAAACCTGGGTACCTACTTTGCCTTGACCAACTTAGAATGAGCCCTAGGAAGTATAAACATGGAGCTTAAAGGTGGGCTCCAGCAAAATGATTACAAACTGGAACTCTGGGCAGCCCGGTCTATTAGTGCACGGGTGATCCCTTGAATAGAGGCACTTAAAGCCAGTGGATCTGGGGAAATTGTAATCACAAACTCTAAGCCCTTCACCCTAAATTGGGAGCATTCGCAATAGCTACTACAGCTACGGGTAAGCTCCTTTGAGTTCGTTGCACCTGGCCCAGTTGGAATTCAGTTGTTACCGCCATCTTTTGGGCTTCGCCAGGACGTAATCCCCTCCCCTAACAATAACCCCTGCGACGCCCCTAATAACAAATGTTCTGCCTAACATGTGATGTATATGTGTGTGTTTTATGTCTTTGGGTGATTGTATTATGAGTGGGGTGAAAAGGTTATGCTTAGGGGGTGGAATTAGAAGGCTCTGGTTGCAGCTGATGTCAGCTCAGCCATGCTAGTTTCAGACCTCATGAGAATTCGCAAGCAAGGTCATCTTTGGGTGACTGCTAAAATTGGCTGAAGTGCCCGCAGCGCCAGCAGAGACCTTGCTGCCAAATGCACTGTAAATCCGACTATCCAGTACAGCCCCTCCAGTGACCTCTAGTGAAGAATAATGCCTATTCTGAAGCCTACTCACTTAAGGAATCTTCCTGAAGTGCTGGGAACCTCGAGTCTGGGTCGGAGAAACCCGATGACCAGAAGCTTCTCCTGGAAATTCACACCCGCAAAAAGGGTTGCGCCACTAGGGGGATGCTTGTTGGGGGTTCTGTTTGGAAGGAATGTTTAGGGATCATGTCCGGATGATTTGGAGTTGTTGTGGCGGAGGGGTTCGCTTCATGGAACTCCGTGTGGGCGTTCTGGGTGGCGGGGGCTATATGAGCTGGCGCCAAATTCTTGTTCCCGGAACCGGCCGCATATCGGTGTTGGGCATTTTCCTTATCCGTGAGCAGCATTTCAGGAAATCAACATGACCAAGTAGACTTTTGCATGCGCTGTAACTTGATTAAGGGTTATTGGTATTGGCTTTCCCCTATCGGTAAACAAGGTTTGCGTGAAATTACATAAGCCATGGCCGCCCGAAGACTAGCTCCTAGCATGGAGATTAACGGTTGTGGCTCATATAAGAGTTTCCGAATGTAGGGAGGTGTTCGGGAGTCCCCATACTAAGGCTTATAGCATTTTAGAATCTACATTGGGTCATTGACATCCCCTTGCTTATGGAAACTACCCTTTAGTGATCGTAGGGGTTGACACTCCGGAAACCTAATTGATACGGAACGCCAACCAGGCCACGCAAAATACTCCTGCCTGCTTTAAAATGGCTTGAAAGGAGCCGATATGGGGTCACATTGTGCGAGGTGGGCTGGGGGCCTAAAGCAGCTTTGGAATTCGGGAGAATTAGGGTATGAAGCCTTACCATAGGCTGTATAGAGACCCGATCAAGAAGGGCTTCACATAATACTGGGCTTCGCCCTCTGGCAAATGCGGGTTTCCTAGAATTAGGGTAGTTTTTTGGGGGGTCCCTATAATAAGGATGATACTGTTCTGGAATCCATATTGGGGTCCCCACTTCTCACCAAATCTGATTCAAGCCAACATTCAGACGTGACCATGCATTCCATGCATAACCTCGGACTGCGCTGTAGTTCGACCCCGGCCCTACTTCCTGGAGATAGAGGCTTTCAAGACTAAACCTGCCCTTAATTGGAAAGGACACCCATAGCCTTCATGATGCTGAGAAGTATGAAGGCCAAACCGTGGCGGCATGCTATCAGCCAAAAACTTTCACCCCGATTCCACGAACCACGGTCCGGCGGTTCTGGCGGTGCTTCGGGCTTGACCTTGACCTTCCAGGCAAGCAAATGCATCGGAGTTTGTGAAAACTGCGGGCCTCTAGGGACCCCAAGAGAAATGTAGGGATTCAAGTTTTTAGGAATTTTACAGGAGTCGTTCCTGAAGAACTACCTTTAAATGGAAGTTCGAGGCTTAGGGATTCCCAGGCCCAAGGGACTGTGGGGTTGCAGACAAAGGTCAAGGAATCTGGCTTTGGGATTAGCATCTGGACGTGAAAGTTTAGAAGGAGCCAAGGCGGAAGGAAGCCACAGACTACGTGGAATACCTGTATAATTTCAATGCCTGAGTCAGGGCGGACAAGATTTCTCCAACAACAACACTTCAGCGCGGGGGTTATTAACTGTTACTTGGTTTCTAGACCCAGCATGTACAGAACATACTTGCTTAAGATCCCTTAAGACACCCTGGCTTTTACCGTGGGTTCCGGCCTATAGATCCGAAATTCAAATCCCAAACCTGAAGACCTGTCAGGAATCAGGCTCAAAGACAAAAAAAGCCTCGTCTGGCGCCACTTCCGCTTCGCTTCCATCAAAGCCTTTGCTTGCAGAGTCTCTGCATTTCTGCACAAACTGCATGGTAAAGGTGCAGCGATCAATATGAGAGGGTGGAAAAATACAAGGACAATTGCTGTTTTGCATCGTTACCTGCTAGAGACCATGCAGAGATTCTGCACTTTCACCGAACCTGGGCTCCCAACATGAGAGTAACGATGCCGCGGAAACTGGAGATCTTCCCATACCCCTACAAAAGGCACTTTCCCTCCGAAAAGCAAAGTCAGCTCGACATAAACCTCTATAGAATGCCCACGGCCGTATGATGGTGACTTACTTCAATCTGCGGCCAGCCGCCCCACTTGATCTTCACTTTGCCATCCTCCGTCTGTGGCACGACAACCTCTGCCAAATGGGCTTTGAGCATTTCGGAAACCCAATGCGCAAACAATATGTAGATTATGCCACCTCACAGTTCTTCAGACAATATAATATACCAATGTCACGGGTTATCCTCACACCTCCTGATATCATTACATGTTGACTTGGCCCGTTCCAAAATCAAAAGTTGCAGCATACTCTTTGGACTCTCCTTTTGTTGCGCGGAGGCTGGGCACAAATACGGAAAGCCAAGGCCCGTAGTAATCTACCTACAGCAGTAACTTCTGCCCGCACGATACCAGTCGGAACATCCTCAAGCTGCGAGTCAGTGAGCTATAACATCTTTGGAGGCTGAGCCCTAATCCTGATGCTACCATGACTGTACCTGACATCGCATTTGAAGCTTCGGCTGCGTCGGCCTCCGCATCGTGAAATTTGTCCTCAAATTTTGCTTCCACCTGCAAGGCCGTGAGCTGCTACACGGGCCGAAGCCATCAGTCTCCCGTGCTTTAATCTATCTAAGCTACCAGTCTAAAGAAGTCATATACTACTTGCGCAACCTTGCGTATATCCATATACACATAAGTACAGAAACATATCCTCATTACAGTAACTTAGCCTAAGCTAAGCAGCACTGGCTAACAGCTGCCTAGTCTCAGGCTTGCCCCTTTGATTCACATGACATGTGGGAATTGTCATTAAAAGACGCCCCCCCACATATTGTAGTCATTCCGCTGAGTCTCGGATTGCAAGCCTGAAAGCCCTGCTTACCACCCAAGGGCCCGCCATATTCATCGAGAGTGGGCATTGAACAGATGTTGCCAAGATTCCAATGTAAGCACCCTGCAATAGCCTTGTGATGAGCTGCTCCAACCCTAAAACTCTAACAAAATCTCTGGGCCTTGTCTCCCTCTTTGAGCTCCGCAGGAGGGGTGTCATCCTCCTTTTGCAAGGGATCTGAACACAGGTGGGTGAGGAAGTCAGCCGGTTGTTGTGTAGAGCACTTGGGGCGAAAAGTTTGGGTGTTTCCTAAACTCCTCAAGAAGTCTAGATCACATGCACTAGCATTCTGTGGGGAGCTACAAAGAGATTACGTCCGCCAGCTCGCTTGCCTTAAGGACTGCTATACATCATCCCAGTCGATATGTCGTTTTCCATTCTTTTTTCCATTGGATCTCAACTCCAATCAATAACGGTAGCAATTATGCTTTCCAACATGAAGGGAAAACAAACGATTCAAAACAAACACTTCAGATCTGGGGATCTTCATATTACGAAGACCCCAGGAAACGGCTCCTTAAAAACTCCCGTCTGCCCTTTGTGATCCTCATGCAACCCCTGATATGTTCCCCAGCATAGAACCTGCATGATCCCCACTTCATCTGGAACCTTTTCCCTTAGCCTTGCACCCCTCTCTGAGAAATCCAAACCCAGAGCTTAAACGTTCTGCACACACCCAACCCCAACCTCAATCGCTAAACCCAGGCCCCAAGTCCCTTCAACTTTGCCTCTTTTGCTTTGGCTTTGACATCTGAGGGGTCTAAGTCGGCTTCCGACCCGTCGTGACCTGGTTTGGGACTTCAAGCTTCATTACTCCCAAAAGGTTCAGCTACCACTATGGCATATACTTGGGCCAACTGCCTATGTAGGAACACTCCGGGCCTAGAGTATCAACCGGCTGTTGCAGGACTTGGTGGGCAAAGGCACATGCGTTGCAAACCTGCACTTTCAAGATCCCACTAGATACTCGGCAGATCAGGAAGCTGGACGCAAACAAATGATGCCCGAAATCCATGCCCTTGTGTAGAAGGTAGATAACCGTCCAGACCAAGCAGAAACACTGACATCACAGGTTCACAGCTGTGTTCCTCACAGCATCCCAGCAATAGGGGAAAAGGGGCGAGAGCCTCCCCGACTCTGGGTCTTTGCTGCCATGGGGGTCCTATGAAACAGCAGCAGTTGCATGCTGCGTGGCAGCTGAAACTGGCAACAAAAACAGTCAGACATGAGAAATGTAGGAAATGCCAAAATGCTGCTCAAGCAGGCCCTTAAATAGGGCTTATTTCTTGGTATCCCTGTCTTGGAACTGCCAGACTAGAGTAACTCCAAGAACATATGTGCCAAGATGCCCCACTTGATCTTTACCTTGCCGTCTTCTGCAACCTCCACAACCTCGGCGTCGAAAAAGCTGTTTCCATACTTGGCCTCAACCTGGGCGGCTCTCAAGTTGCAGGGATTCCTAAAGGCTGGGGGGGAGTGTGAGAGGGAATATCCCGTACGATCATAGGGACTTGTCATGAGATTATTATACAAATCCACTCCCGCACTCTCCCTGAAGCACCTTTAAGTCAGAGGTGGCGTTCGGGGTTTGAGTGCAGCTCTCGGGACTGCGCTACAGTTCAAGGGATTCAATTCAACCCCTACGCCCTAATCCAATTTGCTTCGTCCAGCTGCCTGAAACCATCTCTCTCTCTCTCTCACGTGCTCAGGCCAAGACTGTCAGACGCGAAGTTAAAGCATAACCACGAAACCAGAGACAGTGGAAACAAGCCTTCCAAGTTGCAAGTCTCGACTTCCTGAATCCTGAATCGCTACATGGGGTATCCCAAGTTACGGGTACCTTTTTGGGGGGTCTCACAGATTATAAGCTCATGGGTGTCTATCATGACTATATATAAAGGCTAAATACTTCCCAATACCATTTTGTAGAGCCCCCAAGGAGGCCCTAAAATCCCTTGATAACCCTTAGTAGTTTCCATTTTCTTTTCCCTTATCCCAACATAACCCAAATATATACCATAGAATCCCCGTATAACCCCTATAATTCCTGCAGTTTCCGTTTTATTTCCATTTATAAGCCCCAACCCCCTCCCAATATAATCCCTAGATACTCCATTACAGTAGTCTCCAATTTCTTTTCCATTTTATCCCAATAGAACCCCATTACAACCCCAATATAACCCTAAACCCTGAACCCTAAACCCCAGATTCTAGACCCTAAATCCTAAAGCCTAAACCCTAAAACCCTTTCGTAGAGTCCCCAAGAAGGCCTTGTCCCCGGCGTTGAACTCCACGGGCTCCGCGGCCTCAGTGGCTTCCGCCGCCTCGCCGGAGCCCTCCTTGCGCTGCCTTGGATGCCGACTTCTAGGACTCATTGGGGCTTATGTAGGGTTATAGGTGAGAAGGTTATAGGGTACTATGGATACTAAAAGTGAGACTTCTTGGGGCTTAGGTAGGGTTAGAGGGTTTAGGGTTTAGGATTATAGTTATAGGGTACTACTTCTAGGACTTGTTGGGTTTTACGTAGGGTTAATATCCCTTCCCCCTAATATTACACCCCCCCCACCCCCCAATATTAAATACTCCCATTATGTGGTATATTCTAATAGAACGCGGGTGTTTAATATGAGAGGCGGGGGCTGGAGGGTTTAATATTAGGGGGAAGGGATTATAGGGTTTAGGGTTTTAAGGTGCTGTTGATACTAAAAATCCTGCATGACCTTCGCATATTAGTACATTACCACAAATCCTTAAGGTACTGCAGGATTTTTCGTATCCGCCGTAATTTCCACAGATGTGTAACCCCATTTCAGAAACCCCCCACTTTTCCCTCCCTCACAACATAAAGCACCCCCCGAATAATAATCCTTTGCCAAGCGGTACCGTCATGTAATGCAGGGTAATATTTACTATGAGGAGTGTAGCGTGATTATCCGTTCTTTGCTAAATGAAGTTTTTGAGTTGAGGGAAAAGAACATGAATACAACGTTATGAGGTATTGGTGAGGGCATCAGGTCTAGGTTTTTGGGTTTAGGGGCCATGCAGAGCGTAGCGCGAGGCTCGGGTAAGTTTAGGACCTAGGTCTGCAGTTCTGCTTGTCATTGAAGAGGCTAGGGTTAAGGGCTTAAGCTTCGGGGTTAGGGGATTGGGCTAAGGGGCCTGGGTTCAGGGTGTAGGGTTTACAGGCCAGGGTTCGGGGTTAACAGTGTTGCCACTTGCATGGCCAAAGGCATCATAACGTAACAACCCCGGCAAAGATTAATGGTCAAAGCTGCCAGACAAGGACGGCACAGGGGCTTAGGGGTTGTAAAGTTTCTGCTATTAGTCAAGACTATTGGACCCCATGAATCTAAGACCCCTAGCTAACCTGCAGTAGACCTGAGATCCCTGAAGACTTAAGCTCCACAACGCCAAACCTGGAAAGCCAAGCTACCCAAAATAAAAGGCTACTATACCTCCAACATTGGAAACAGCTACCCAAAATGATAGCCAACTGGCGTGGCGAGGTAGGGTAAGCACAAATGCACAAAACACAAAACCCTAAAAAGTAGGATTTAGTATAAGCTCTGGAAGATCGAGCGGCACGTCAGAAGACTCAAGTTCGGCCTCCGATCCATCGAAGTCCCACTTCACCTTCACCTGGCTGCCTGGCAGAGGTAATCAATGATAAGCCTAGGCCCCTCCGTATGCAGATTGTGCAGGTATACTACACCAACCATGGAGAATCAAATATGGAAAAGAAAATGGAACATGAAATCGAAACTAGAGCTGTATCACCTACCCCTGACATTAAAACCCCTACCATTTAGAGGGATATACAGGGATATATGGGGGTATATACGGGGGATTGGGTAAGAAATGGAAGCTACAATGTTATTTAGGATGTAAAAGGTTTGGGGATAGTACCCCCAATGCTGGAGAATCCAATGGGAAAGAAAATGGAACGTGAAATGGAAACTAGAGGTGTAAAGGAGTTTCATAGAGATTAACCCCCTTGGTAGAAGATGGGGTTTGGGATTTAGGGTTCAGAGGTTAAGGCTTCCACGCTGACACGGCGAAGCAGAAAGCAAAGATTTGTGGGGTTTTAACAGTCCCTACATATTTCCGCAGTTCCACTATGACCACCCACCACTAGACTACTGTACCACTCATCTTGAGATATCCTCTTTAGGCCCAAAAGAGTTTCGGCACACTGTCTGTCCTAGAAGCCTGAATTAAAAACCCGAACCTGTGTGCCAATTACCTTCGCTCCTCAATTTCATTTCTACCTTCACTTCATTCACGTAATCAGTTCACTTAACAGATGAATGAACGAAACAAGACAAGGAGAATATCATTGAGCCACGAGTCCAGGAATGCTTCCTAGATTCAATTCCCTGAAGCTCTAACTAATTATAGAATTACAGACTGATGGGGGAAATGGAAATATCTTGAAAATTTCCTGAAGTTAAGACAGACATAACCTCTAAGAAATGATTTCTTTACAGATTTCCCGGATCTAGGATAATAGCGTCCAGGCGAGGTTGGGCTTCGTGTGTGCGATGCAATTCGTTTCACATCTTCACTTCCTTCAAATTAAATCTCTTCACACAATTCTCTCACTCTCTCTTCACCTCTGTCCCTACACTTTGACACTGCAAACCCGAACCCTAAACTCTGAATCAGAGCCGCTCAGCATTCAAAGCTAGTGAGCGCTACACCCGTAAAACGAACCCACCTGGCTCCGCAGCTTCCACTACGACAGCTGAAAACCATCCTAGGCTCAGACTTTTATGGGCCTTCAAAGGGGTTTGCTGTTCAGGTCTAGGGGAAAGGTGGCATGGAGGTTTGAGGGAAGAGTAGGCGGCAGCTTTTCCGGGCTTACGCTCAAGGACGAGGATGTACGTAGCAACTATCACAGGTATCTCAAGACCCCAACATGTCCAGGGGCTATGACCTGTGGCTACAGCATTGAAGAGGTGAATTAGGGATCTAGCCGACCTTTGCAAGCGGGGCTCCAGGGCTTCAATGATTAAGGACTCATATAGGTGTGGGGATGTCTTCTCCCAATAACTAGACATGAAAAGATCAGAGGCTAAACGCCATCTATCACAACTATGTTGAAATCTCCCTTTCAAACTTTGCACGCCATCCACCTAGCTCACAACATGGCTCATGGTGTGGGAGGTGACAATGTCCAGCTTGTAGGATGTTATACTTACCCTTACTTGATTGGGAGCGGGGAGTATTACCACGGGGATGACTATGAGCATCATAAAGGCTACATGGTGATCCACTCCCCACGCCCTAACTAGTGCGGTTGTTGAGGCTTGATATTCGTTTCAGTGTCGGGTTGTGGAAGTTAGGCATGAGAGTACCAGCAACGTGGCGATATTGTTGCAACGTGAGAAAGCTGGTCATCGAAGCTAGTTGCCGACTGCACAGAATTAGCATGCTCCTCAACACTCTGCTTGTGGGGGGTGGGGTGTGAAAGGATTACATGGGATTGTTTCATCCTCCAGGGCTTTGCAAACTCTGACTGGGGAACTCTCAAGGTGCTGATCGGATGTTGGACGCCCTGGGCGTAGGTAGAAGTAAAGGGGTGTAGCTATTTCTCAGCAGAGAGGCCGTTGCCGAACTTGCCCTCGACCACGTCGCCTGCTTTCGATAGAGATGCTAACAACAGGCTGTACTCCCCGGCAGCCATGCCGCACTGGGCTTGGGCTAGAGGTATGCGCATGGATGGGTGCACCATCTATCCTTTGGATTTGAAAGTTCCAACCGCCCCTCATTTACCCCTCATAATTAGTGAATTTCCAAGACTAGACTCGAATTAAAGAGCCTGACGCAGACAAGCTGGGCTTCCAGACTTCAAGTCTAAGGTGGTCTCCACCACGGGGCTCTTGCTTAAGCAGTTTTCTGTCCCGTTAGTTTAGCTTCGTCTTTTCTGCTTAACTGCATATTTGCATGGAACCAGCCTCATGATCTGAGACCTTTACCCACATGCTGCCGACCGTGAATAATCTGCACTCAATCCCACACTCCTCTTTATGCCAACTGTCCCTCAAGCTGTCAGCCTATGTCAGCAATCAGCCGATGCACCAAATCGGCTCATACATTCGCAAATGCAGGGGCCTAAGGCATTTGGAGAGACCGGAGTTTTGGGTGGTGTATTCTAGCATACTTGTGCAGCAGCTTTCAGGGAGTCATATTTGAGGGAAAAGTCAACTACTTACTGACAAGATGTAGAAATCACTTGCGGCAGGCCGCCGCAATGCCATCATCCTCCAACCTCCCAGAAAACAGCCCCAAGCAACAACTCAGTAGCACTGATCCTCCAAACATAGCAGCACAATTATCCGGCAAGTCTGTTGGCCACGTGCTTTGAACGAATGCCCAGCTACAAAACCTCGAAACTCAAAGCCCTGCCCCACGCCTTCGGCGTAGGCCTGCGGCTCTCCTGCAGGAGCTGCCTGGTGCAGGATCCCCCATGATGAGGCATGGAATGGAAAGCAAATGGAAAACTAGGGGTATAGGGATTCATTAAGTTTATGGTTTAGGATGAGCTTGCAGGCTGGTAGTAGGGAATGAAGGAATGGAAAAGAACATGGAAACTACTGGGCTGTAGGGGAGTATAGGAGGGCCACGAGAGGGGTCCATTCCTCCATTCCCTGCCAAGTTAACAGCCAGTAAGAGAAGGACTGAGTCATGCTGGTGGTTCATTCTGTAATTTTCCTAGACCTGTAATATGTGTCCCCCACTGGGTTATGTACCAAGGAAATCAGAATATGCATCAAGTTTAGGCAGAAAACTCCCCGGGGCATTCAGAAGATGTTAATCCCCTCCCACAATAATGCATAATAAGCACCCAAACCCTTAATAATAAGTAGAGTGCCTATATGTATCCGGGGCAACAGTAACTACTAGGGTGGATGGAGGAGATGCTTGTAGGGAAACACTTACTTCAACCAGCCTTTCAAGTTCACTACTAAAGGGCAGGCTGGCGTTTACTTTCGGCTTGGTCAACCTGCAGATGTTTTTGTAAGCTGCCAGGGCTGGGGGTCAGCTTACAGGATTGACCCAAACTACTCAAAAAGCTCTCCGAGATTGACAGTTGTTCTTGAAGTTTGCTGCCTGTGGGCACATCGCCTTTCAGAGTGCGCAACCTGGGTCTGTAATTACATGGCTGGGGCGCGGCAGCCTCTGGACTCTAGAGCACTGCACCAGGCATGCCTCCTTGTAGGCAGTGGTAAAGACAGCCACGACGTCCTGGCTGTCGCACCTCGTATGTCACAGTCTTACTGGTGCCTAGGGGGCTGGGGGATGACCTCTACATTCCTCACGTTAGTCCCGGACAAGCCCTCTATCACAACGCCTCTTGGCACCGACCCATTTAGCAAAGGGCTGATGGGCACCCTGAGGCATCCTAGGATGTCCCGTCGGGTCCCTCTCGGAGTATGCCAATACTGGGAATGCACGGTGGAGCCGTCCCCAAAAATGAATAACTTTGAACATGTTCCATTTCACGACTGGTGGGGGATGATAATGGCCCCTGAAACAGCTTCTTCTTTAATGAACGTTGCACTAGACATCTTGGGAGTTGTTCTAAAAAACTGAGGTCTTGGGTTCAGCCCAGGAGAAGGAGTCATTGCCTTCGTGGCAGTCTTCGCACTTGATATCTGAAATCTCAGGTCCAAAAGCCTGTCATCGTGCTGTTCTCTGAAGAAATCCAAAATTCCCTGACCCCACAGAAGCCCTGTCGCACGCGAACAGGCCGCGGACCGACACAAGAGCAAGAACAACAACAAAGTAAATACTCATCATAATGTTCTGCTAGTACCTTATATACCGAAAGTGGGAGCCTTCGTGGCCAAAATTACTCGCAATAATCTTTGCCAACTCGAGCCATCAAGCCCCGTGCACTATACCTGTCTGCCTAAACCTTATAATCGCTGTAACCTAATCCATGAATGTTCTTCCTTTTTTGGGGTTCTGTCGTACGCTTTTGTAAGGTATATACAAAAAGTCGGACCCCTAGGGTCCAGCTAGTCCCAAACACCAGCCCCGAATCTGTTTCCCCTTAATTCCAAATTCCAAAGCCGTTAGGGCACAGCTCCAACAGCTTCGCGCCATCTTTGCCACTGATTGGCTTCTTCCCAACGGTAGCCGGGACCTCTTGGGGCTCAAGTGGACTGTAGAGTAAGCTCTTGAAGGCCCAAAGAACTCGAATCGTGGAGCATCAAATGGAAAATGACATGGACACCGGGTTTACGCAGGGTAGGTTTTCGGGTCTAAGGTAATAGTTCTGAGGGACTTTCGGAGATTGCTTGGTTAGAAGTTGGTTTTTCCCTACATCCATGGTTTACCGCATGTGCGAAGCAATAAATTGCAGCAAAGCCTATGGAATTTTAGGAATCTCGTCGCGTGCGGCACTTGCAGCGCTCACCCTTCAAAGACATGGGGGCGTTTCAGCATTGGGGCTCTTGCTTTGGGAGACGCTAATGCTCACCCAAGATGCATTACGCACCTCCCCCTGAACGGGTCACATGGTGTTGTTTCAAATCTTCGCCATGAAATCAAAGTTCGAGTTCCCCGAAGCTCTCTAGGCAGAATCCAAGACAAATTGCGACGACCGTAGTTGGATACTGCTTTGG